CTCTTCTGTTCACCAAAGCTGCATTTATTTGATCAAAAATACAATAAAATAAAATGACTGATTTAAAAAAAAAAAAAAATTTATATACAATATTTTAAATAAATATTTTTATATTAAATAAATCTTAAATATTAAAAAATATTTATAAATAAATACATTTTTATAAAAGTAAAATTGTGAAATATTATTATAATTTAAAACAGCTGTTTTCTATAAGAACATCTGTTAAACTGTAATTTATTTCTGTGATGCGCAGCTGTATTTTCAGCATCATTACTCCAGTCTTCAGTGTCACATGATCTTCAGAAATCAGTATAATATGCTGATTTGCTGCTCAAGAAACATTTCTGATTATTATCAATGTTGAAAACAGTTGTGCTGCACAATATTTTTGTGGAAACCGTGATGCATTTTATTTTTCAGGATTCACAGATGAATTTTGAATGCTAGTGTAAGTCAGACAGAAAGAGAAACTACAGAGACGCTTAAATCACTCACACAAATGTCTGTAAAGATGCAGTGACAGTCAGACATTTAGAAGTGTGACTTGAGTGTGCAGATATGTTTTGGTGCTGCTGTATGGATGCATGTGTTTCTATTTAAATGCAAATAGATGTTTTGGTGATTGATGCCCTGTGATTGTGTGAATATTCTCTCTTCAGTTCAGGACGGGTGGAACGACCCTCCAGCTGTACGCGCAGGACAACGAAAGAAAAAGGTATTTATCATTTGCATAATGATGTTGCTAATAATAATCCATTTAGCAGGAAACAGTCTGACCTGTTTTCCACTGACATGATGCTGGAGCTGCTTCTCAGTCTGACCCCGTTCTGCACATTTCTACCAAATAAACATTTACTTTGATGCATTTGGTAGACGCTTTAATTCAGAGCACCTCACACTGCATTTAAGATATACATATGAGTTCATGCATTCCCTGGGAATAGAACCCTTGACTTTGGTGTTGGAAGCGCTATGATCTGCTGTCTGAGCTTCAATAAGGAATAAGATGAGTAAGTGCTACTTTATCTCATCTGTCTGCAATAAAAGGATTTGATTTACAAATATTGCATGCACGAATCATATCAAATGTCAAAAAACCCTGAATTATAGTATATGTTCTCCAAAGTATAAAACATTAAATCAGTAAAATTATTTACAAATATTGCATGCTGTTTGTTTGTTATGCCAAATTCAGTGATTGCATAAAAACCCTGAATTAAATTACTTTAAATATTAAAATGTTCTCAATTTTTTTTAAAACAATAAATGTTTCCAGTAAAATTACACCTATTGCATGCATTTGCATGAAATGTTGACTTTTTATTGTTCTGTATTAAAATACATAACTGCTGTTTGTCGTATGAAATTCTGTGATTGCATAAAAACATTGAATTAAAATATGTTCTCAGAAATATAAAACAATAAATGTTTGCAGTAAAATGTACACACATTGCATGCATTTGCATGAAATATTATGAATTTTCCTTGTTATATTTTAAAATAACTGCTATTTGTTATATCAAATTCTATGATTGCATAAAACCCTGAATTAAATGACTTTAAATGTTAAAATATTTTCTCAAAAAAATAAAATATGCCAACAGTGCACAATGTACTATTTATGAAAATGGACAGGTTATGTGTTGCATCATTGTTTGGCTCTCAGGTGGAAACATGGTCAGATTGAATGTTCAGTACTTGCTCCGAGTGTCATTGAACTTAGTGCTCTGTGTGTGTCTGTGTGTGTCTGTGTCTGTGTCTGTGTGTGTGTGTGTGTGTCTGTGTCTGTGTCTGTGTCTGTGTGTGTGGTTGTGTGTGTGTGTGTGTTGTTCAGCTGCCAGAGAACTACACTCCCTCTGCTCCAATCACAGCGCCGGTAATGGGTTTCTCAGCAGAGGCTCCCGGTCCTCAGGACCGAGTTCAGGTGCCACCCGGAGCCCCTCAGGAGCCCAGCATACAGGTGAGAGGTCATGATGTTAGAGCCCATCAGAAGAGCTTGTGTTTTCATCATCATAACTCTGTGTGTGTGTGTGTGTGTGTGTGTGTGTGTGTGTGTTAGTCCTTACAG